TTTTTGATAAGAGGGCAGTAGGCCAAAGAACCTAACTCGGAACCTAAACTCTAGGGCAGTGGTTCTCAACCTTCCTCATGCCGCACCTTTCATACAGTTCCTCATGGGGTGGTGACCCCCAACCACAACATTATTTTCATTGCTACTTCATCGCTGTTATTTTGCTACTGTTATGAATCGGGCCACCCCTGTGTCATTTTGACCCCCCAAAGGGGTCGTGACCCACAGGTTGAGAACCTCTGCTCTAAAGTCTAGACTAATAGATTTTATACCCAAAGCCTGGGACTTTGCATGTAAAATTCATGCCAGAGCTAGGAATCACACTAGGGTGCTAAGTACTGTTTTAGGGGTGGCAGGATCCTAGGCAAATTGGCCCTAAAAATGGGGACACTAATAACGTGCCATCACTGTGTGCCCTGGGGCCTTGACTACCACCACATAAATCATATTTTTGTATGTGTGGGTGTATATTTGTTTTCATAAGCCATATTTTGAAGGACCCCCCCCCCAAAATAAACACACTGCCATTGAGTCAATTTGGACTCAGTCCACCCTACAGGACAGATCTGCCTCTGGATTTCCAGTGTGGCTGGTGGGTTCGAACTGCTGACTCTGGTCAGCAGTCCAGCACATAACCCACTGGACCCTAAATCTTGGCAATAGCACAATCTGTGTGATCGTGTCTCATCCCCTTGGGAAATGCACACTAGTTGGTGGGCACCATTTTCAGTCCCTAGGAAGATGGCAGGAGTTCCTGCCGGGCGGCCTGGTCTGTGAGAGCAATGACCCTCTGAAACCTACCAGCATCACTTGCTGGCGGTCACGGAGGTGGGGGGTGGGGCCGAGCCGGTCTCCGTGCTTCGCTTCCGGCCTCCCAGCCTCGCTTCCGGCGGGCCCTTCCTTCCATCCGCTACTCTATGGTCCTCTACCGGAAGTGGCTCGGAAGCCGGGATCTTGGTGAGGTGAGGAGCTGACCGGGTCGGTGCGGGCTGGCGCGGGACAGGCGTGGAACTGGGTTCGGTTTCCGAGCCGAAAGGCTGATAGCCCGAAGGGCGCCCTGGGGCCGGTCCGACCCGAGTTCTTCGCCCTTTCTCCCCACTCGGCACCCGCGCCGAGTTCCCACGATTGTAAGATGCTTGCTTGCAAACTCGTGAGGCCCCACGTTGCAGCTTTGTATGGAAACTGTTGATGATGGTGCTGACAGTGGTTAACAGCTCACATTGCCTGAGCGTTCCTCTGGGCACTTTTTATTGTGATGTCAAAAGTGGGTCTTGCTTTTGAGGGTTTTGCCAAAAAAAACCAAAAACAACAACAAAAAACCCATCTGCCCAACTTGCTACTAAAGAATTTTAATTCAGCAATTTTTGTAAATTGAAATCTTAAAAGCAGACTTTAAGTTACTTAAAATGTATTTCATATGAAGAAAACTGATAACCCCACTCCCACTACCATGACTCGAATCCGACCTTGCAAGTC